TTTTTTTTTTCCAGATTATGGCAAGTCCAGAACAAAGACGCAGTGTAGATCATCTTGTTTACGATATGACTATCAATGAATTACAACAGATGACAGATTTGTACACACAACAGGTGATCGAATTAATGCTTGTGAAAGAAGTTAAGAACGATATTAGAGAGGGAGAGAAATGAAGAATATCGATTATCCTTTTTAAATTTTTTTTAATTTATCCCTATAAAATTTATATTAATTATATTATTATATTATAAAATATATTATAATTAATATAATTAATATAAATATATTATATAATATAAATATATATTATATTAATATAAATATATTATAAAAATATATTATAAAATTTATATTAATTATATTATAAAATATATATTAATTATACTATTATATATTATTATACTATATAATTATGCTATATGATTATATATTATTATACTATATATTAATTATACTATATATTAATATTAAGGGATAATTTTTTTTTATTATCCCTTTTAAATTTTTTTTAATCAACTTGTTTCAGTGGAACTGGACCAAATATTTGGAAGCGGTATTCAACAATACAAATGTAACGATAAATACTGAGTTGGATCATGTAGTCGTAATGGATCTGCAATATTTACAAAAATTACCTAAACTGTTAGCGACTACTCCATTCACTACAATAGGTATATATATACAGGATGTCCGAAAACTGTTTGACATTCAAAAAAATATGAAATTTGTTCGGTTTCAGCGAGAAAATAAAATAGGATTTCAATTATTCGATATACATTATCCGTATGAAAATGAAGAGAATAATTTAAAAAAATGGATAATATAGGAATGCAATTTATTAACAAAAATAAAATATATAGATGAAGATACATACAAAATATATATGTACATACGTGTACTTAATTGATATTAATTTAATTCTTTTTTCGACGATTGCCGAAGAAAAATTGATATAAATGTACTGATTAATCGGGTGTTTAGTTATCGGAATTTTACTATAGTTTGTTTGTTGATGGACGTGTAAAGATTAGATATGTAAAGCTCAACCTTGCTTCTTTAAATGGAATTATGTAATTCTTGAAGACAAATCGATTCATTTTGGTATTTTCTATAAAAAAAAAAAAAAAGTAATAATTCGTTTATGTCGGGAAATAATTATTTCTAGAAGATATTTTAATTTTAATTCTAAAAAACAAAACTTTCAATATGAAAGTTGACAATACGTTTATATCTTTCTCTGTTTTTCACGCGATAAATTTTTTAAAAAATTAAAATTAAAATATCTCCCAAACTAATAATTTATTACTTTTTTTTATATAGGATGCCCGGAGTGATTTGTACGTCAAAAATTACACGATTCCATTTAAAACAATCACAGTGAATTATCCCTTACCGAACAAATTTCGTTTTGAAACATCGAATAAGGAAGAATTTTCGAGATAATTATTTTTATAGATCCATATGGTCCACTTACATATGTACATCATTCGTTTTATATGCGCAATTTGCATTAGGTTTAGATCATGTCAACAATACTGTGATCAAAACGTTTCAGCGCGATTCGTATGGTGGAACGTTTATTCGACAATTGCTCCGTTAACGTTACAACAATTTCGTGACCTTGGTTTTCAATTCTCACAGAAAGTTTTCGGTTTGAAAGAAGAGGCACCCAGATGGAAAGCTTGTACCGGAAACGTGAACGCAAATTTTGGTATGGCTGTCAGCTACATTTACGCGCAAGGACACTTCGATGACAGAGCTCGACAACAGGTACGTCTAACGCGATTTTCTTTTATTCACCGATCACTATATAATTATGATAAATATAATGCAAAAAGAAACAGAGAAAGGAATGATAGACGATTTTCAGGCTTTAGTAATGTTGCTCGATATTAAAGCAGCATTCGATCAAATGATTGCCGAATTAGATTGGATGGATGCTGACACGAAAGCTCGAGCTCATACAAAGTTGCAAGCGATAAGGCCGTTCGTAGGAATTCCAGATTGGATTAGTAATTCAGAAAAATTGGATAAATTTTATGAAGGGGTGAGTTATTTTTAAGTTGCATCTCTCTTAGGTTACATTCAAGGCGAATGCTCTCTCTGTTGCAGATAGACATTATACCTGGACAATTGTTCGATACATTTTTATTGCTAATCGACGCGAAAACCAAGAAAAGTTTAAATAGCTTGCGTGAAAAACCGGACAAAAATCGATGGATATCGGCCGGTACCACGGTAAATGCGTTCTATAGCGCGATATTAAATTCAGTCAGTAAGTATTTCGGTGTTCTACTATCTACATATTATTTTATCCTTTCATGCTATTTCTGCAACCTATCATTTTAATTTTATAGCATTTCCAGCTGGTATTTTGCACCCTCCGTTCTACGGGAATGGCCTACAGTATGTAATTGGCATTTGATTAGTGAGTTAATAATCAGTTGTGTTGAATTCGAAATTAAAAGATTAAACGTACTTCGCAGATCTATCAACTATGGTGCTATGGGCGCAATCATGGGCCATGAATTAACACATGGATTCGATGACCAAGGTAATAAGTATAAGAGAAAGTATTAACACGTAACGCAATAAATTATAGAAAATGAGATAAATTTTGAATAAATTAAGTAAAATTCGGAGAGGTCGATTTGTTTATACATTATAGGTCGTAGATACGATCAGAATGGAAATATTCGGCAATGGTGGAGCAACGAGACGTTACGACATTATCACGAGAAAGTTAAATGTATAATTGAACAGTACGGTAACTATCATTTGCCAAAGCTGGCTGATAATTTCAGAGTAAGCACCTCCTGTTCTTTCTGAAACAGATGTAGCGAAATTACGCCAGTAGATAGTGTATATGAATCAATGATCACATAGATCAATGTTTAAACGCTTAGGTGAATGGCGTGACTACACAAGGAGAAAACATAGCTGATAATGGTGGTATACGAGAGGCCTACAAAGCGTATCAACGATTCAAAAAGAGAAATACTGATCGACTAGTTTTACCTGGCCTCGTTAATTATAGTCAAGAGCAATTATTTTTTCTAAGTTTTGCACAAGTAAGTAATCACTGTTCATAAACAACAATACAATCCTTTCGTTAATATTCTATCATTTGGGGGAAAAAATCGTGATTTAATTAAAGAAAACTAAATTAAAGATACTTTATGAATTCATGAGGTGTACATTTTTGCATTACATTACACATAGATGTATATCTCTATATTTTTCAGGTTTGGTGCGGTAGTTATACAAACGGAGCATTAAAATCTAAATTGATACAAGGAGTTCACGCGCCAAATCATTTCAGAGTTATCGGAACATTAGCGAACAATGCAGATTTTGCGAGAGCATGGAATTGCCGGGCTGAAAGTCCCATGAATCCATCTCGCAAGTGTATTCTTTGGTAATTGTTCACAATTAGGCGCGTAACCGAACATTACTAGACGAATAAAGTTGTATCATTTTTGAAAAAGATAATTGTATTTTCTTCTAACTTTGCACTTTGTTGTATAATATTTATAACAAAATTACATGAAATTATATAATAAAGTAGTCATAAAATAAGTATTGTTATTGTAAATTAATTTCATAAAAGTTAATATCTATTTTTTGTGATATCATATGAGCATCTTGTTCAGTCGGATAAGGAATAAAAAGTAAAGGGAAAAAGAAATTAAAAATTTAAGGCTACTATCAGAAAAGAAATTTCTGTAATAATTTGATAAATATCAATTCAATCAATCCAAACGATGGAGGATTGAATAAAAATATTAGATATCATGTAAAAATAGTAAATCAGAGGATTATCCATTTTCATGTCTGAGTTAAATGTAGAGTTGATTGCATGTCATAATAAATTAATTAAAAGATTGTAAAGTTTCTCATTAAAATTATTGGAAATTATTGAAAAATTATTTTTAAATAAATCTCATTTTATTTTTAACAAAGAAGTCGAAGAAAAGAAAAGAAAAAGTGTGAATGAAAAATGCAAATTCTATGCAAATAATTAATAAATGAAATCTAAATAAAAAATAGATTGGTTCTGAAGAAAAAGAGAAGAAAGAAGCTGATGTAATACTTGAACTTAGAATCCAAGAAGAGTAGAAAATTGTTAAATAATGATAGTAAAGACGAAATCTATGATTTGAATGAGAAGAAAAAAAAGTGATTTATATCTTTATAAGATTGTAATACATAGAATAAATAGTAAATACGACGAAAAAAATTACAAAACGAGATATCAAAATATTGAATTCGGAAAAATTATATTCGTATTTTTTATAAAGTTCACAGAAGGTAAACTGATAGAAAATATCGTGTTTTACAACATATTTAATTTAAATACTAATTCTTACACGATACTGCAAAAGATAAACAGGTAATTCTAAGACCACAATTAACTTTTTGCAGCATATCTAATTTATATTTCTTATACCTCCATAATTTAATTTCTCCAGAACTTGAAGTTGTAACTAAAAACTTATCCTTAAAAGCTATACATTTCACTCGGTTATCGTGCGCAACTGCTTCTACAGTGCACACTGATTTTTCAAGATCATATAATTTAATTTGACCATTTTCTAAACCCACAGCAATTAAATCATCGTTCAAAAATTCTACGCAAACAATTTTTGAGTTGAATTTAATTTCTTTTTCAATTCCTGCTAATTTTACGGAATACACATCTATTGTTTGCATTACAGCTAACAAATACTTATCACCATTGGGACTCCACTTAAGAATGTGTATATTTTTAGCATCTAATTTCAATCTTGGGGTTAAATTTGTGGCATATGCTTGTCTTCCTTTAACTAGATTCCATGTTCGAAGAATTCCATCCGCTCCAGTAGATAGTGCTATTTTTCCTGATGGATGAATAGCTAAAGTATTAACGGTTAAACCTTTGTGTGGCTTTTGCCAATGTTTCTCCATTTGCCAATTTCCGCATCGAATTGCAGCTATAGTTCCATCGTTACTGCATGAAAACAGATGAGATGCATCAGGGGCAAACACGATGCAATTAACAGTATCTACATAAACATATAAAGAACATATAAGATATACTAAAACAGATGATTTTGACATGATATGCAAATAATAATTGTATATGATTATACCTACCATTATGGTGCATTAATCTACCAAACTCTACTCTGTTATTTAAATCATATAAATAAATAGAATCATCTGCTCCACTGGATGCTAAAAAATTTTTGTTACTCGCAACGCTACGTATGCTATTGACATGGCTATGAGTAGCAAAACTTTTTTCCATTTTATATTCCTGAAAATTCACAGAATTTATCAATGAAACATGAAATTATATTGAACTCAAATAAATTGCACATGTCGGACATAACCTATAATATAACCAAATAAAAGTTGTTCACTTACATTATCATCATTATTTATTTTGTAACCGAGTAAATATTGTTCGTATGTCCCTACGATTATTTCGAATGAATCTGGCATAATAAAACGCACTAACTAATCTTTTTTATTCATGAAATTGAATACGTTTGTTATGATTTTGGTTCTAATAACAAAATATACTACTTATCGCTAAAAGCATTGACTAAAAGATAGCATTTAAAGCGACACAGTGTGGAGGTTTACACCTTTTAATTAATAAACATTAATTATATTACAAGGTTTAATATCAAGACAAGAACTATTATTTATTTAATTTATACATAATGATATGGTTTCCAGAGTGTTTGCTTTTTAGAAATGAATTTCTGAAATATTTATTACTATTTTATTTTCTATTTTTTTTTTTGCTATTGGTGTCACTGCTGTTCCGCTCATTTGAAAAGTGCGCGCCGCTAAAACAGTGCTGCAGCGGGCCATACAAACTGCTTTTCCGATTTTCTTTTATAATTTATCTATGCAAAAATTGAAATAGAAAGATCGAAAGAAAAAAAAATAGAAAGATATAGTGGAGCGGATCGTTCTATCGATCAAAAGACAAAGATAAAAAACAAGGCCAGTTCGCAATCTCTGCTTTAAATATTTTTTTGCTGTTGCACCCCTCGAATACATGTTTTCTTTCAGTCTTGTGTACGGATTAAAAGTTAATACTTAATCTACGGATTTATTTAAGCATGAAAAAGCTGTCCACGTTATGCAAAATATACGCACGCAATGGGGCTACAGATTGTGTTAAAAAGTGCTGCTATAGGAATTTACTATAAATCTGAAACTTCCAACTTTTGGCTAATACCAATAGATATGCATATTTTTGATTGTATTAGATTTATTAAAAATAACCAATCAGACCAACATTTTTTTTAGCTTCATACAATACGTGTACATAACGACAAGATGACTTAAATATTTCATAACTAAATATCATAATTAATTTTTCTAAACTAAATATCATAATTAATGATTGATGAATATTCGTCGATATAATGAAATATAATCAGTCAGGTATATATCTTCTTGTGATGTGTGGTTTAATCGAATAGATCTATTACTATCATGTAACTGAAATATTGAGTCATATGCATACATATATATGTAGATCGAAATCTACAGTGTCTGATACTAATTTTTCCGAAAATTAACAATATTAGTTATGTTTTAATATTCTGACAGTATAATTTAATAGTCTAAATTTAATTATTACATTATGCTATTTTTTCCGATCATTTTCTTTTCCAGCCTGCGGATATACGAATTCTAATGAAATTTCAATTAGAGTAATATATATGAAAATATAAGTTATATAATAAGATTCTCAAAGATACATATGTATATAGCGATAACATTTCAAAAGAAAATTACACATTTGGAAACATAATTTATCAAACGAGCAATTTCCTGTTTCGACGAGAAATAAAATGAATCATTTAAATTAATTGACATGTTAATTGCTTAACTAACGAATTAATTAATTAACTGTCAATTATAATCAATTATAACTAATTAATTTATAGAAAATTATGGAAACGAATACATATTGCATTCTTAATTTTCCAAAGTCGCGCCTTAAAATTCTTTATCTATAATTATATTTCTTTGTTTTCTGCATCAAATTTAACAGAGATAATGTTTATGTAATATGATAAAAGAGATGTGATAGCTGACGTGAACTGAATGGTATCTTCTCTACTAACATTCAGAGAACGTCGTGTAAAAACATTTCGCTGGAAACGTCTGTTGTTAAAAGAAATTGAAAACTTTACAAAATTTTTACGCAAATGATGGAGGACATCATAATAACAGAAGTCGATGTGAAAGACATAAGGTTTCCAACATCGTTACTAGCTGACGGAAGTGATGCTATGGTATGTGATACTTTGATCTTCCTTTCGATGACATACTGTGCTTAGGTATTTCAGATTGATATTTAATTTTATAAACAGTTGTTGTAATATAATATTCAATCACAGCACACTAATCCTGATTATTCTTGCGCGTACGTTACGATCAAGACTAACAAAGGGATCGAAGGATATGGATTAACATTTACTTTGGGCAGAGGCACAGAAATTGGTACAGATATTTATTTATCTATTGAAACAACTATCTACGAATTATCAAAATTTTCTTTAAAATATTTCGCAGTTGTACAGGCATGCAAATCAATGTTCTATTTAGTGAAAGGACAGAATGCTAATGAAATTTTTACGCACTTTGGGTCTTTCTGGAGAAAATTGACAAGCGAACCGCAACTGAGATGGGTAATATGTTACAAACATAGCGGGTTTAAATTAAAATCGCGCGTTCAATATAAACGCGCGTTTCAAATTCTGCGACAGATTGGACCAGAAAAGGGCGTTATTCATCTTGCTACAGCGGCTATAATAAACGGGCTGTGGGATCTATGGGCTAGAATAGAAAATAAACCTGTTTGGAAGCTACTTACGGATTTGACTCCTGAACAACTCGTCTCCACGATTGATTTTAGATATATGTAAATTATATATACCTACATATGTACATACATTACGAAACAAATGAACCGCTGTAATTACTTGAAATTGAAACGAAACTTTTGTTGTCTCTCATAGCACTGATGTTATTACGGAAGAAGAAGCCGTGGAATTGTTGAAAGTTAATCAAAAGGATAAAGAGGAACGTGAAGAAATACTACGAAAAACTGGATACCCGGCATACACAACGCAAGTTGGTTGGCTTGGATATAGCGATGATAAAGTTAAAGATCTATGTACTAAATTCTTAGCACTTGGCTTTACATCCTTCAAAGTAAAAGTTGGTCAAAATCTAACAGACGACATAACAAGATGCCAACTGGTACGTGAAGCAATTGGATATAAAAATAAATTGATGCTGGATGCTAATCAAATATGGAATATCAACGAGTCGATCGAGTGGATGAAAAAATTAGCAAAATTCGAGCCAACTTGGATTGAAGAACCAACGTCTCCGGATGATGTATTGGGCCATCTAAAAATCGCAAATGAATTAAGGCCACATGGTATTGGTATCGCGACCGGTGAAATGTGCGCTAATCGCGTGATGTTTAAGCAATTACTACAAGCGAGAGCAATTGACTATTGCCAAATAGATTCAGCTAGAATTGGAGGAGTCAATGAAATATTAGCTGTTTATTTGATGGCAAAGAAACTGAACGGTAAGTTGCATTATAATACAAAATCGATCATTTTATAGTAATTTTTTATTCCATTAGTTCCAGTGTGCCCACATGCTGGCGGAGTGGGCTTATGCGAAATGGTTCAACATCTGCAAATGTGGGATTTTATTTGCCTAAGTGCATCTACTGAAAATCGTGTGATAGAATACATCGATCAACAGCATGAACATTTTGAAGATCCTGTACTTGTTCAGAATGCTTGTTACATGCCACCTATCAGTCCAGGTTATTCAACGAAATTCAACGAAGACTGTATTAAAAATTATTCATATCCGAATGGGGAAAAGTGGAAGAATATGTACGAGCAAGGGCTTTTCCATAAATTATCTGATTGAGAATATTACAAAATTGTACACATTCATATTAATTGAAAAATGTACAATATTTTGATATAAATGATATATTTAAATGAGTGGCCAAAATTTTGATTTATTATTCTTACATTGATTCAATTTAAGATTATTTTAAATCAATAAAATATAGTGTGATTTACCAATTTACCAAACTATTTCTTTTCTACAGATTGTATTAGGATTTTTGTGATTGATTTTTCTGATCGCAGTTCCGGAAAGCACCAATTTCGATATGAGATCGATATAAGATTTTGGAGGGATGAAGCATAGGGCAAATTTTATATTCCAAATATAAAGTTTCGGATATTTATTAGTTTCCGAGATATTAATAAAAACTTTTGTATGGAATTCCGTTTGAAATTAAAATTAGCTCAAACCTAATTTCTGTCTTTTACTTATAGTTGCTTATTTGTTTTGCATGTTACAACAAAGTGGTTAGAAAATATTCTAATACAATTTATTAAGTAAAGTAGCTTGTCGATATATTTTTTTTCATGATTCGATGAAATATTTCTTTTCTTTTTCAATTTTTATTTTTTCCGTCATTCGTACGTTATAACAAAATGGTTAAAGAAAGTCCCATTAAAATCCATGATGGAGTGATCTTTCGACTGAACTTGTTTTCACACTAACTGTAATAAAACATTATAATTTTAAACATTAAAACATTGATAATTTTAAAAATGATATTGAATGTTTTTTATTAGTGTCAGATGCATGTTTTAAAATAGTTTAGTTTTTAAACTTACATTTAACAGTATCTTCAATAATAATGGAAATAATTTACATTTACAGATATTTAAATTAAATTAATATAAATTTTATTCATATAGTATATGTTTTTAGTATAGTTAAGTTTAGTTTAGTTTTTATGAACAGTTGTTACAATGTTATATTTATATAGTCTCCAAAAAGATATCACAGTTATTAAGCTTGCCCTTAAGCTTGATATAATAGCTTAATATAACAGAATTATTTCCGATTTTCAATATAAGACTTCACATAATCTGTCTGTAAAACAATATTCATTAATTTTAAATCAATTTGAAGGATTTATGATTTTTAAAGTATGCATTGTACGTACGCTTACAAACCAGTATGAGTTTGGTTTGTACATAAATTTTTTAAATAAGTTTATATTGCATATAGGAGAGATAACATGTAAATGCAAGTGAGATATTGTATTAAATGGTGGCCAATGAAATCCTGTACGCGTAACTGTAAGATCTAAACCTTGTTTTTCTGCTATTATGTCCATTGTGGAAAGAATTCTATCATCTAAAAATTACATTGTAGATAATGATTTTGATGCATAAAGCTTAAATTTAATATTCCAATTAAATCATCACATTTAAACTTACAAAGTTCAGCATCTGTTGAGCATAGTTCTTTCGCATTGTTTATATGTTTATTTGGCAATATTAAATAATGATGAGTCGAAGCTGGATTAATATCTTTGATACATGTCACGTAATCGTCCTAAAATCAAATATAATATTACATATTTAGTAAGTATGAGTTGTGATGTATGAAAATATTCTTTTCTAAATAGATATCATTATATACTAGGAATAAAATTCTCTATATATATATACTGATGTTGAGTCTATGTTTAGTTGTGTTATGTTAGGTTAATTTTTTCATACCTCATATATCTTTTCGCTTGGTGCTTTGTTACTTATGATATCACAAAAAATACAATTATTTATATGAGTCTCCATGTAGACTAAAATATAATTGTTAAGTAACTACCCAAACTTTTTCTTTTGGCACTTTGACGAAAAATTTATGTGACCCGACTATGTACATATACGTACTTGTAGTACATATATTTATGTGATTTAGTATGATCTGTAGTAGTGTTTCTTAATATTTTTCTGTTGTGGAACACTTTTAAGTATTTAAAAGTTTTACAGTTGACTTGAAGAAAAAGTAATTTAAAAATTAAAAATATTGAAATATATTGATATATCTATATGATATATATGATGTATTATATATGATATATATCAATGCAATATATAATAGATATAGTGTATATATATATAAAATTTAAAATTTTAAATAAAGATCCGATTCAATACAATATTTACAGTGTTAAAGAACATTGATGGTGCTTCTCAGATAGCTATCAATATGTGAAATAAATATATAAAGTATTGCTGAATGTTATGTACAAGCAAGAGAGAGGTGATTTCTTGTAAAAAAATACGAAAGAAATATAGAATAAAATTTTTTCTTTCAAAGCTTAGTTTTCGATAGAATTGAATTTGAAAATGTATCAAATCTAACATGTGTATCAAGGCAATTTTTAACGAAACATATTCTATTTTGAAAGACTGAAGTTTTAAATGAAAAAAATTTTATTCTATTATTTTTTACTTATTTTTGCACGTAGAATAACTTTCTGTTAATTATTCTGTCATGTCTAGAATTAACTAAATTCAAATGAACTCGATAAATTTTTAAATTCAATTTTCTTGGAAATTAAACCTCAGATGAAAAAAATTGCTGTAGTTCCAAAAAGCACCAGTTTCCAATTGATATGAAATTTTGATGAGATGAACTAGAAGGGAGAGATAATTTTTTAAGTAATCTCCCCTCTCGTTAAGTAATATAGTAAAGTACTATGAAATTTTAATTTCGGGTTTTTATTAATTTCTAAAATATTAATAAAAGATTTTCAATACATTGAATTCTGCCTAGATTCGATGAACATTATCATTATCATTCAAATTAAACAGTAGTGGGTATTAAATACAAGGATTTATTTTGTCGCATTACTTTTTAATTTAAAATATATAAACTGTACATATATATATATTTTTATAAGTATATACTTATATGTTTTTATATAATAGTCGTGAGCATGATAAAATAGTAATAGATGCAATACATTCTTTACATGTGGCAGTTTAGTTTAATGAAAAAAGTATTTTTGCTTTTAGAAATCAATCCTGTGCAGAAATTTTACGCACTTTTTCTCTTCAATTTCGTTTGTTTCATATCTTTGAAAAAATCCGAAAATATTTTGACTTTTTCTTAATGTAAATGCGAAGGGAACAATTAGAAATTTTATATTTATATAAAGTGTTTCATATCTCTTGCGAACAAGTCATTGTTCAAACATAATAAAATAATTTAATCGTAAAACGATTTAAAATATAACAAACTATGTATTTTATATTTGAATTTGGATCTGTGTGTGAGTAGAAAGTTTTTCAATAAAATCTCTTCATCGTTCTTATATTTATGTAAAATGTTTTTTTTTTTTTTTTCAAAGATATTACAGTGCAATACTGTGTAACAATATAGTATCTGATCATACAATAAGTATCGAATTTGTGAAAAATTTATTTAATAGTCTCAGAGAAAGAATGTAACCGATCATAGAGACATAAAGAAAAAAGCGAAAATCGAGATAACAGAAATCTCTATTGAGAAATTGAAATTTGCTCTTGAAATTGGCCCATTGCATCGGCAACTTACAAACTACGATAGATTTATCGGTATTATTCCGACTGTACAGCACTTTTTTCTCTTTTATAAATAATTATAAATTATAATTAATTTACGTTTCCGATTCGACGTAATTGTCATACAATATACATAATATTTGCTTACGACAATCTGTAATACTGCAAACATTTCACCACTCATTTTCCCCGCAATGATGACATCGTATCTCGTTTCTATCAACTTAGATTCCGTTCCGGATCCATCGATTGTCACTGTCATTTTACGATGTCATAAGTCCCTGTTTTCATAAGTCCCTAAGTTATTGAGAAGAATTCGCTCGCCAATCGTTTTTAATTCAACAATGAATTTTTGATCACTAACTTTTTCTTTTTACCGTCGCTCGTTGCTTGTTCCCGTAGTCAAAGAACAATACGACGAATGTTAATTGTAAAATTGCAGCAAGAAATTGGAGAAACTGAAATTAACTCAAAGCAATCTAATAAAGGGGCAAGTTTCAGCTGCCTTGGTACGACATTTGATCGGGTATAGCGGACGAATGATTTTGACTCGGGCTTTGATGAAAATGAGGACTACTACCGTCTTGCGATATCTCGCCCACCGCTGGTTCTTCGTATTTCCCCCTCTTGAAACGACCGTACAAGGAGGAGTACGGTAAATTATAGTGGATCGCCGCTTGATTAATGCTCATATGGCCTAATCTGAAAAATCGTAAATAAATAGAAGAAATCACAGGTTTTCACGGTGCTTTTTCTACTAAAGTAAAGAATAAACATTGCGATATGTCGTGTCGTGTTAGGCTCATTGGACATCACTTGCTGTATATGTACATATTTTCATGCAGCAGGCAATGTAGGATAGTGAAGGATAGTTGTCGGTGAAACGGCAGAGGGACACTATAACGCGTTTTCTCATTTCGACGATTTTAATAATAAGACAAAATATATCTTGTTATGCGGGCATAACGTCTCAACAGGCTATATTTACGTTTCTATGAAGTGATTCTTCGTAGACAGTAGGTTTTAGTTTTAGAAAGAAAAAAAGAAGGAAAAGTAGCGGAGTAAAACGTGTCGTTTGAAAGAATAAATATGAACGATAACGTGATAATAAATGGTACTTTACCTGACAGCTTCGAGAGCCTCGGTCATAGCATCTTCGCTCCAAGGTGTAGGATTACTCCTGCTAAGTTCGATGCCCTCTCTTTTGCATCGGCCGTACAACGTTCCTGTTGGTATACCGAATTCTGTCGACGCCCTCTGCACAGACGTTTGTCCGGAGCGTATTGCTTCGAGGGCACGATCGAGATCGGCAGGCGACCAGGTGGTGGGGCTTGCATTGAAAGGTGCAGCCAGCCTGATGCCTTCCCTCCTCGCGATTTTATACAACGTACTTGACGGTATTCCAAATGCCTTTGAAGCTTTGTTTGCTGATATTGTCCCAGTCCGTAGTGCTTCGAGCGCGTTGTTTAAACTCTCGTCGCTCCACGATTTAGTAGGCCCATCTTTTTTCGGAGTATCGATTCCCAACCGATGCGCTCGTTGCCACAAAGTCGTCGAGGGTATGCCGAACGTTGCTAAAACGATCGCGACACCACTGGATTAAATAAGAGAATACTGAAAACGCTTGTTAACGAAGGGAATTAGCCGCGTGAATTAGCCGAGCGAAAAAAAAAAAGAAAAAAAAAAAAAGAGACGATGCATGCTTTTGAATTACCAGAGGCTTTTGTAAGGCTCATATCGTGATTCCGTAAGGCTTCCAAAGCAGCATCCATGTCCTCTTGGGTCCACGATTTGGAACCGTGATGATGCGAGCTCGATTGTCCGGAATGGCCCCTCGAGTTATTCTCACCAGAATCCGAGTGTATCGAACTTCCAGAAGGCATCAATCCAAGCAATTCCGGTGTGATCATCATCATGTTGTCGCTATCGGCTGCGTTCTTTGAACTAACGCTCGCTCGATCTGACATGTGGCTATCGATATCAATCGTGTCCGACGAATCCATTGTGTGCAACGTTTCGAACTTTATCTTTACACTGTCACAATTTTGAATCTCTGCGAACAAATGCGAAAAACAACACAGTTCTAATGTGTCCTCTGGCTGAAAGAGTTGCATAGCATTGAACAATACAGTATCACATCGAACCCGAATAATTAGTCACGGTGTTCTTTTTTTTCTTTTTTTTTTTTTTTTTTTTTTTTTTTAATTTCGTTTTGCCCGGATTTTTATGATTCGGGCGATATCAGTGTCAATATCAACATCGTCGCCGTCGCCGTTGCTATCGCCATGAACGTTATATCGGAGAAAGGAACGCCAACGATGGCAAAGTTGGGCGCTTTGACTAAACGAGCTTGCGTGGGTGGTTGCGAACCGAGCAACGTAAATCTAATCGCAACTAGTTAAGCTCGATTAGGCTGATTATTTTAATTCTCTCCCCGTTTAATAATCATCTACGGTTTTATTTCCCAACATGTGATTCACGCCGAGTTACGTAGCCCGTCGAATTGATATTTTATCGACGAAAACAGTTGATTGTAAATATTATCAGCAACACCACCTGTGGAATGATGATCCGGGTCCCTTAAATGCGTGATCGTAGTGCCAACCAATGTGGCACTCGGCGGTGTAGGTTGAGTTTCTGGAGGTAGATCAACCTCGCCGGGATCCGGATGATGACCGTAATGACCGAGACCTGTATGACAAAACATATCACCTTTTTTAATTAAAGTGAAAATAATCTGTCCCGCGCATTGTTGTAAATTAGTAAGTCGCCCCACACCTAAAACCCGCCGCTATTTTAAATGATATTTAAATCTTAGCAAAGAAGGAGAGA